GATGATCATACCTTCTTGTGGGAGTTCCTTACATCTATCTATGTTCTAAATCCCATCATGTTTGGTTGAAAAACAAGGGAGTTATAGCCATTTAAAGTTTCAGCCAATCAGATTGCAGCACACGTGCATGCGCGTAATTTCATGATTTTTTTATTATCATTTTGTAGGATATCCTAATGCATGACTATATTTTAAATTTCAAAGAATTTCGTCAAAAAACAAAGGAGAAATAGCAATTTAAAGTTTCAGCCAATCAAATTGCAGCACACGTGCATGCGCGTGATTTCATGATATTTTTTCTATATCATTTTGTAGGATATCCCAATGCATGACTATATTTTAAATTTCAAAGAATTTCGTCAAAAAACAAAGGAGATATAGCCATTTAAAGTTTCAGCCAATCAGCTTGCAGCACACGCGCATGCGCATGCTTTCATGAAAATTCTTATATATCATGCGGTAGATCATTATAATGTAGGACTATGTTCAAAATTTCAAAGGATTATGACAAGAAACAAGAAAGTTATTGATACTTTAGTTTCAGCCAATCAGAGCAAAGCGCACGTGCATGCGCGTGAAATCTTGCTATTTGACTGTGCTATCTTATCTATACTACTAATGTATCCTTACATTATGAGTTTCAAAAAATTTCATCAAAAAATAGAAAAGTTACGGCAATATCCATTATATTGGTAATTTCACCTAATGCACGTGCGCGCTCTTGCAAGCACGTGCGCGCAAAATGACCTTTGTTTGGCAACTCTACATAACATGCCTACTAACCCTAAAAAGGTTTCACCTAAGTCGGATGTGTAGTTTACAAGATCACTCGTGGACAAAATTTTCCCAGGAAGAAGAAAAATAATAATAATAATAATAATAATAACTAGTGCTAATTGTAACGGGGACCGTTACAGATGTTCCCCAAACGCTCCCCAACTCTCTTTTTGTGCCATATTACCTATAAGCTTCATTAAATAAGACAAACTCTATGTATTTGAGACTTTAACAACATTTACCAGGAAGTGTACGAAGTTCATTCAAATTTTAGCATTGCATGCGTGCGCATGCGAATGCCTGTGCGTAATGACCATATCATTTTGTCTTCACAATCCATATATTTTAATATACTAAGAATTAAAGTATTTAATCCAAGAGTAATAAAAAATACGCGCATTCAAGTGTATTTTTGATTTTGTTCATTTCACGTGCACGCACGTGCATACATGAGCACGGTGACCATACCTTCTTGTAGAAGTCTATTACATCTATCTATGTTCTAAATCCCACCCCATATGGTTAAAAACCAAGGGCGTTATACCTGTTAAAAGTTTCAGCCAATCAGATTGCAGCGCACGTACACGCACGTGTTGCATGTGCATGGTGACCATACCTTTCTTGTAGTAGTCCATTATATCTATCTATGTTCCAAATCCCATCCTGTTTGGTTGGAAACCAAAGGAGTTATAGCTGTTTAAAGTTTCAGCCAATCAGATTGCAGCGCACGTACATGCACGTGTATCCATGTGCATGGTGACCATACCTTCTTGTAGTAGTTCATAATATCTATCTATGTTTCAAATCCCATCCTCTTTGGTTGAAAACCAAATGAGTTATAGCTATTTAAAGTTTCAGCCAATCAGATTGCAGCGCACGTGCATGCACGTGTTTTTATGATAATTGCTATATATCCTATTGTAGGATATCCTAATGCATGGCTATGTTCAAAATTTCAAAGCATTTCGTCAAAAAACAAAAAAGATATTGAGATTTTTGTTTCAGCCAATCAGAGTGCAGCGCACGTGCATGCGCGTGAAATCTTGCTATTTTGACCATGTCATATTGTCTATGCTACTTATGTATCCTTATATTTTGAGTTCTAAAGCATTTCATCAAAAATTTACAAAGTTACATCTATATCAATGTAATCGGTCATTTCACGTGTTGCACGTGCGCGCTCTTGCAAGCACGTGCGCGCAAAATGACCTTCGTTCCGCAAATCTACATTACATGTCTACTGACCCTAAAAACATTTCACCTTAGTCTGATGTGTAGTTTACAAGATCACTCGCGGACAAAATTTTCCCAGGAAGAAAAATAATAAGAATAATAATAATAAGAAACAGAGTAAAAACAATATGTTCCCCAACTTCGTTTGGGGAACATAATAAGAAACAGAGTAAAAACAATATGTTCCCCAACTTCGTTTGGGGAACATAATAATAAGAAACAGAGTAAAAACAATATGTTCCCCCACTTCGTTTGGGGAACATAATAAGAATAATAATAATAAGAAACAGAGTAAAAACAATCTGTTCCCCAACTTCGTTTGGGGAACATAATAAACAGTTATTTCATGCTACAACATGATACAACGAAATTGTTATCGTACGGTCTATCTGAAGTAGTTTTCACAGTTTTCCCAGAATGCACGATCATGGCGGCCGAGCATGCGTATTCGAGGAATTTGGAATCTGTTTCCCTGGCCTACCCATAATGCTCCGCAAAAGTAGGCCTACTTTTGCGGAGCATTATGGGTAGGCCAGGGAAACAGGCTACTAAAGTAGTTGCTAGCGCTCGAGAGCGCTAGCAATAAAATAAAGAGACGTGGAATCTTTCACACAAAGCTGCTTTTTTATAAACAGGGATGTAAAATAAAAATTATGATTGTTTGGAAATTTGAATTAAAATTAAGATATACAAATCCATAATCAACATTTTATTTTAAGTTTATGGCAGGGTCTAGACAGGGGATCATCAGCAATTACTGCAATGTTGTATGTACAATAAAAAGGGACTTTTACAATGTTAAAAATATATTTTTTTTTAGAAAAAGAGAAAGAAATTGCACATAGAATTTTCTGTTTTAGATTTAAATTGTCATCAACGACGAATTACAGTAAATATATTCACATGTATATGTTAACAAAGACAACTGTTACAGTAACAGAATGACATCTTTGTATTATATTATATCGTATAAGCATCTTTTATTTTCGTCAGTTCAGCTTTTTGTACAATAGATAATGCATTTATTGTATAAAAACCTGCTTTGTTCATCATTTTAACAGGAAACTGTGCGTGTAAGATACACTACATCTAATAGACTGATTCAGTATAAATGTTTATAATAGTAATCAAATTATTTATAACCTGAACAAGTATTTTCAAGGATAAGTGCGTGTAATCCTTCACATTATTTAGTACTTCATTTCTGAATCGATTATGGTTTCAATATAGCTTTTATTTTATTTTTCTTTTATTAATATTTGTTGTTTTGCCTAATTTTATGAATTTAATTTTATAATTTTGCCTGTCAGCGGTTAAACATCCGGAAAATTGTTACTTATCGTTTCTCTATGCAGAAGTATATTCAGTTTAGAATGGTATAAAAAAATAACTAAAATGTTAAAATAAGTAAACCTTCCCTTTTCAAAGCTGTGGTAAAATACTCAGTACAAATTCTAATCCCAACCCACCGGGCTCCGTGTCGCCCCCTCTATATTTAAATGTACGTATATAGAGTCATGGTCCAAGACTTAAAACGTGCAGCACTATTCAGTGAAATTCAATTTCAGGTCACACAGATGTAAATTCACATGCTTATGTTTCGTACATACATGTAGCCCCCCTCCCCAAGTTTTTCTTAGGCAATTGTTTCGCATACAGGGCACTGTGACAACGCACTTTGAAAACATTACGCACTTTGAAATTTTTTTAATTTTTTTCAAAGTGCGTTGATTTGGTCCCAAATTTAACGCACTTTGAAAAAAAATTTTCAAAGTGCGTTGTAACAGGGCACCCACTTTTTTCAGATAAAGTAGGGATGCATAGACTGTATACAAATTACATGTGTGATAACTTCGGTATTGAAGGAGTATGAGGCGCCGTTTTTTGGTATTTACTGCCAGAAAGTAATATCACCTATTCGAATAGTTGATATCACATATTCAATTGATGATATCACCTATTTGAATACAAAGATATCACCTATTTCATTTGAATTGGTGATATCACCTATTCGAAAAGGTGATATCACTTATTCAAATTGGTGATATCACTTTTTGCCAGTAAATACACTGAAAACGGCCCCTAATAGAAGAGGGAAGTTGTAAGTCTTTTACAATGGCAGCGAAAGAGAAGGTCATCAAGTACTACTTTGTAGAAGCGTAATCTCCTGTGTATTTCCACAACCTTCGATCAAAACCTCCTCTTTTGTTGCCAGTGGCGGGAATTAGGTTAATTAACTTGAATTTAGGACAAATAAATCATTTTGACCGGGTGTGGCTGTAAGGGGTTTGTAAAACAACATCTCCCTAAACAACATCTTGCATAAATTTTCTTGATTTTGTCGTAGTAACGTAGAAAATCTCCCATGAAGCGTATGTGTTTACAAGATTTTGTTTTGTCCCTTAAATATTTTTATTTACCAGGGCCAATCTCTAAATCTTAACAAAAGCGGAAAATGATATCAGATATCGAAATATAGGAATAATAGAATAGGAAAACATGAATTTTAAATAAGTTTTTGTGTCTAATAAAAATTCTTAGAAGCTGGAAAGGGGGGGGGGGGGGTGGGTCGGTGTTACACCAACCATTAATAAGGTGCCTCAACTTAAGCACCGAACGCGGGGATCACAAAATGCTTTGAATTTGAAAGTTAATATAAAACAATGCCTCCAAAGCTTTTTTTCATTAATCTTTGCCAAATCATTTTTTTATCGTATAAATAGACAATGCATTTATTGTAACCCTTGATATACTAGTAGTCATTTAGTGAACACCCAATGATTGCTTCAGTTTAACATATCTTATACATAACAAGTATCCTTTCCTAACCGATTACAGTATAGATCTATCAATGGTTTGAACCTTATAATGGTGTTCATTATACTGTCATATTAATAACTGTTACGCGTTCACACTCCAACACGTTCACAGTTTTTGTTCCGTTATGAAATTCTTGATCGTTATACTAACTTGCACGCTAAAAACAAGACATCTGATTAAAAAAAAAAATAATGTTATCTTTAAATCCATGCATCAGCATCTATGAAAATTTCCAAACCATGCATGAACATTCTTTTTGAACACCTTTTTGTGAAACAGGTCGATTTGAAGTTTTTGGATTAAAAAAAAAAAACAGGAAATGCTCACGTGACATAAGTTGTCACCAACTGAGTCTGACACTAGAATACTGTTCTGTAACAACACAACTAGAAGTCATGGATGCTGCTGAATTTCGAGTCAAGGCCAAAGAAGTCGTAGACTTTATTGCAGATTATATGGAAACTATTGAAAACAGACGAGTATCCCCGGATGTCAAACCTGGTTATCTCATCAACGCTGTACCCAAAGATGCCCCGAAAGACCCCGAGAACTTTGAGGATCTTATGAAGGATTTTAAGGAAATAATATTACCTGGGGTAAGCGTATACTAGAAGAAAATTTAAGCCATAAATTGAAATAGGAGTTGATGTAAAAGTTCCTAATTTAAACGTCTAGAAGTTTTTCGTTTCTGCTCGATCTGCGATTCGATTTTTGGAGTTTTAATTTTTGTTAAGTTTGAAATAAATCACAATAATTTTCACGATCATTCTCCCCAAAAGTGCGCAAAAATATTGCGCCGTAAATTGCATCTTTTTTGCAGTACGGGATCTGTAGCGTTATGGTCAAAGACAAATATATAAAACCTATTACGCTACAGATCTGCAGCTAAATCGGTCTCAGATTTAGATTTTTTCCCTATGTTTAATTTCTATTGTGACCCACCCTACCCCAGGGGTCATGATTTGAACAATCTTGAATATACTTTTTATTTACAAAAACTTAATTTTCGTGTAATTACGCGAGACAGAGAGCTAGCAAAAATTTCATTCTCGTGCATGCGCGGATCTTGAGGAGCGGGGGTCAGGACCCCCTCCTGTAATTTGCAGGTTATCAAATTCATATACTAAAGCAAGATAAAAGTTACCTTGGACCCCCCCCCCCCCCCTCCGAAAGCGCAGACCCCCCTGATAAACGCAAATTTGTGTTAAATCCGTATGAAAAGTCAAAGGTTTGAAGCATTAGAAGTCATAGACTACGCGAGACAGTTAGCTAGCGAAAATTTCATTCTCGTCAGTCGTGTATTTTAGTATTCCTAAGATTATATTTAGGAATAACCACATCTGGTTAATCAAGAGCCAATAACTATCTCGTAAAAATAAGATATCACAAAAATTTAGTGATCTACAGTACCTAGAGACGTTCTGTATTAAATTTCTTGATAATAATGGCTTTGTTGTTCTTGAGAACAAGATTTCCAAATGATCGTTGCTATACTAGAATATTCCTAACTAAAACTTAAATAACCCGGTGTTCCCTCTCTACCGAAAAGGGTCATGCTTTGAACAAATTTTATTTAACATTACCAAAAGATGTTTCCATATAGATAAGAGAATTCATTTCCTTGCTATTTTTTTAGAAGAAGCTTGTTGAAGATTTTTCCATGGAATGAATTCATTGCCTGATGTCACGGCGTCAGGCTGTATAAGGATTGATAATTGCTTGATCCGAAACTAATAGATCATACCCAGAGAGCTAGATTTTGTGCAAGCTGATTTACATTGCAAATCTTTTACCTGCATTTTAAAAGAAATTTTTTTCCAGGGAAACAATGATTTTACTGATGCAAAATAATGCAGTATTGACTTTGTTTACTCTGTTTGCATGAAACAGATTATTCCATGTGATTTACCGTTTCAACGTGTCCGTGTATCTTTTTTACTGCATTTCTATACTACTGGATCAGTCCATTTATGTTCTCAAAAAGGGGTGAATCGCTCTTTTCGCGCCAAATGTCACGAGTAAGCGAGATTCGCGCCTTTTCTTGGATTGTTCTATTGTATGAATGGGGGTGCTAACTGTCATGGAATTAAATAAAGTTGTTATTGTAACCTCCGTCTTCTTATGATTCAGAAATTCTATCTACAAATTATATCTTATTCCTTAAAACAACATATAAATCGTATGTATCAGAATATGGACATGCAAAACAAAAGAAATAATTTCTTTAATTTGTTTCCCCTCTGTTGGTTTATTCCATATTTTGATGGACTAGTCCAATCACCACAAACGATCGACGCAGTTCAACCAGGTTCCAGACGATTTGACGAAAGAAATTACCTGTGCGAAATCTTGGATTTCTTTTCCACAAAGGCCTAAACGTTGGATTTACCTATTTCGTTCTCAAAAAATTATAGTACCCACGTTTCAGAAAAAAAGATCAATGAACACAAACTACTACTGTTTACTTCATTGGAGAAAATGCTTTCCTACAACATATGTATTTAGTTATATCCATTCTCTAAAATGTTCACAATGAATGATTTGACAACAGATTTCAGAATAGGTGTAGCTTTAAATTTAGATCCAGGGGTAGATCAATCTACTTGCAGAAAAGGCAATCGCATCATCTCGGGTCTTTTCGTCAGAGGTCAAACTCGAATGTATCGACATCATCGGATGTTAAAAATTTATACATTTCCTGTTCATAGTAAAAACTGAGTTAGAAGTCCCTTCTATAGTATATTTTAGATAATATCATTACATTGGCTAATGAATAAAGTTAACTCCATTTTCCAGAGAAAATAGGTCTATATACATCATCCATGCTTTATTTCAAAGTTTGTGAAAAGGGGGGGGGGGTGTCATGGCGTATAAATTAACAATACATTTGTGCTCTCCTTCCCTAGATGAGGCCCGAGGAGAGGGACCGAAAAGTTGCGATTGGCAGAAAACCCACATACATTAACCAATCTGTTAACAACTCTTCAGAATGCAGCAAAGGCATCGTTCTTTTACAAGTTAAATGATTAAATATTTTTACAAGGTTCTCAAATAAAAAAGACATATTTCAAACACAAACAAGAGGCCCAGGGGCCACATTGCTCACCTAAGCAATTTGGATAGGAAAAAGCACACATCAGATCAGAACTGAAAGTTTACCGAGGATTGGGGCTTGAATTTTAACCCCCAGGGGATCATGATTTGAACAAAGCTTGAATCCACACTACCTAAAGACGATTCCCTTTAAATATCACTAAGCACTGCTTTCAAGTACTAGAAAAGAAGATTTTAGAAGGTTTCCCTAGATATTCCTATGTAAAACTTTTATCGGCCATTTGGCCCCACCCTACTGCCGGGGGTCATGATTTGAACAAACTTGAATCTACACTACCTGGGGATGATTCCACAGCAGTTTCATCTTTCCTGTCTCAATGGTTCTTGAGAAGAAGATTTTTCCTATATATTCCTATCTTAAACTTTGATCGGCTATTTTGGCCCCAACATAAACCCGGCGGTCATGATTTGAACAAACTTGAATCTACACTACCTGAGGATGATTTCAAATGAGTTTCATCTTTCCTGGCCCAGTGGTTCTTGAGAAGATTTTCAAAGATTTTTCATATATATTCCTATGTAAAACTTTGATCAGCCATTTTGGCTCCATCCTACACCTGGGGGTCATGATTTGAACAAACTTGAATCTACACTACCTGAGGATGATTTGTATGATCATCATCTTTCCTGGCCCAGTGGTTCTTGAGAAGAAAATTTTTAAAGATTTTTCCTATATATTTAAAACTTTTATCGACCATTTTGGCCCCACCCTACCTCTGGGGGTCATGATTTGAACAAACTTGAATCTACACTTCCTGAGGATGATTCCACACGAGTTTCATCTTTTCTGGCCCAGTGGTTCTTAAGAAGAAGATTTTTAAAAGATTTTTCCTATATATAGCAATATAAAACTTATGAACTCCATTAACAACACACGCTCTCCAAGGCCGTCATGTTTTGAAAAAACTTGAATCTACACTACCTGAGGATGATTCCACATGTGTTTCATCTTTTCAGGCCCAGTGGTTCTTGAGATGAAGATTTTTTAAAAATGCCATTATTTTTTCTATAATTCATTATTATCTCCCCTTGGAAAAGGGCGTGGCCCTTCAAATGAACAAACTTGAATCCCCTTTACCCAAGGCTACTTTGTAGCAAGTTTGGTTGAAATTGGCCCAGTGGTTCTTGAGAAGAAGATGAAAATGTGAAAAGTTTACGACAACGACGCTAACGCCAACGACTACGACAACGACAGACAACGGACAAATTTTGATCAGAAAAGCTCACTTGAGCCTTTGGCTCCGGTGAGCTAAAAAGTATTGCTCAAAAGGTTTATCACTTCTCTTACAGATATTGATTGATTACGTCAGGCAAGCTTTTTGAAAAGCTGTTACTTGTAATTATGTAAATCTTTGATCCTCCAATGTGGTCCCACCTTATCTCCAAAGTCATAAATTATACAAATTTGAATCTATACTACCTGTTGATGCTTGCATGTAAATATAACCAATCATGGCTTTATTGTTCTTGAGAAAAGAATTTTTCAAGATTTTTACTATGTATTTCAATGAAAAACATGTCCATTCTTGCCACACCTTACCTCCCGGGGAACAAGATTTGAGCCCAACCTGAATCTTCCCTTCCTGATGAATGATGATGTTTCCATGTAAATTTCATCAGTTTTGAACCACTGGTTCTAGAGATTTTTTTTATGTATTCCTATGTAAAAATTTGATTGTATAGTGTGTCCCCACCCTACCCCCGGAAGTAAAGATTTGAACAAACTTGAAATTACACTCCCAGAGGATGAAGTTCTTGAGAAGAAGATTTTTAAAAGATGCCAATAATTTTTCACTAATTCTTAATTACTAGTATCTTCCCTTCATTATAACATATAAATTTGAATTATCCATAACCAAGGACCCTTTGTGGCAAGTTTGGTTGAAATTTGTCCAGTAGTTATTGAGAAGAAGTCGAAAATGTGAAAAGTTGATCAGACACACGTCCTCACGACGACGGACGAAAACAGAGAGCAATATTAGGTCACATACGTGACTCAGGTGACCTTAAAAGTTATGACGTCCGCGGACAATCCGAACAACCCTCTATACAAACCAACAAGGTATATCCTATTGTGTCGAAATACTTAATAAGATGCAAGGTCACGAAACAATAGAAAATGACAATGAACCAAGGATCATACTAGTTCTCGATTTCGACCTACAATTTACACCCATTTAATTCAATATTTATAGTAATCTAGCCATAAAATCTTTGTCTGATACAAAGAACAATACAACAGTACATCTGATATATTAATTATTTTAATACCAGTGCTAATTCGAGCTCTTGAAAAAAGGGGGTAGATGATATTTTCCATTGAAATCGGGCTTTGAAGCATCTTCATATTTTCAAGAAGAAGCCCATGTGCCACATCGCTCACCTGAGCACTGTGGCTAGGAAAAAGGAGAAATTGGTTTATTATTGAAAACTTTAAATCCAAAAGTAATCCCATGACCAATCATGGCTTTGCTATTCTTGAGAAGATGATTTTTTAAAGAATTTTTCTATATGTGTCTATGTAAGACTTTGGTCGGCCATTGTGGCCCCGCCCTACCCCCGGGGGTCATGATTTGAACAAACTTGAATCTACACAACCTGAGGATGCTTCCATATGAATATGATCAATTATGGCTTTGCTATTCTTGAGAAGAAGATTTTTAAAAAGTTTTCCTATATATTTCTATGTAAAACTTTGGTCGGCCATTTTAGCCACGCCCTACCCCAGGGGTCATGATTTGAACAAACATAAATCTACACTACCTGAGGATGTTTCCCCATAAGTTTCATCTTTCCTGGCACAGTGGTTCTTGAGACGAAGATTTTTAAAACATCCCACCAAATTTTCATTAATTCCCAATTATCTCCCCTTGAATGAGGGCGACGTGGCCCTTTATTTGAACAAACTTGAATTTCCTTCTCCCAAGGATGCTTTGTGGCAACTTTGGTTGAAATTGGCCCAGCGGTGTTTGAGAAGAAGTCGAAAATGTGAAAAGTTTACAGACAGACAGACGGACGGACGCCGGACAAAATGTGTTCAGAAAAGCTCACTTGAGCCTTCGGCTCAGGTGAGCTAAAAAGTCTTGGATGGAGCTTGTTGAGCATTGTATTGACCAATGTTATTTTTTCAAAATCCATTTTTACTAGTTTCACATGTACAACGTTTTGAATATTTGTTGAGCAGATTTTACATCATCAACATCCCCTCTTTAATGCCTACTTCCCCCTTGGTCACTCCTTTGCTTCAGTCCTGGGTACTATGCTGTCTGACGGGATCGCAGGCATCTCCACATCCTGGGTAAGTCTGATGAACACATTCACATCTACTGCACTAAATACAAATAGTCGTGGATTTTTAGCTCTACTGGTCAGAGACCAGAAGAGCTTATGCGATAGTAATGCGTCCGTCGTCCGTCCGTCTGTCTGTCTGTCTGTCCGTGTTTACGAGAGTGCATTTATTGGGTATTTTTCATGCCAAGATTGTACTTATTGGGTACTTTTTGCTTATTGGGTATACCCAATAAGAAGTGTCGCTGAATATGCTTAAAACACCCTAATTGGGTATTTGCAGGTTAGTACCCAACAAAACTTGGACACGACGATTTGTCCAAAAAAGTGTCCAAAAAAGTTGCTTTCACGGACGCACCGTGTTTTGTTGTTTCAGTTTTACATTCGGAACTCTAAATTCTCGAGAGTTCCGAAAATCAACTTCCGTCGATCCTGATCATGAAAACGTTTGTTTTCATGGAAAAAAATATGGCGACTAAGAAACACTTAATGTCAACAAGATTTTCTGATTGACAAGAGAAAAGGTAAGTTTATTCGATTAATATTTATCTATTGCTGGGTTCTTGTTTAAGGAAAATAGATTTTAATGTAATTTTGAAAACAATTGTGCACAAAATTAAAATAGATATATCGGAACAATTAATCCTAAGTTGCACTTGTTTGTATTTTGAATTTTCTCTGTCTTTTTAACTATCTTGAGGGCGAGAAGTATTTAGTAAATGATCGTATATTGTTGGATAATCTTTAATAAATCGAAAGTGTTCATTATTTAATTTTATATCATAACCAACTAAGTATGTTCTGACAATGTATATTGGAAAGGGAAATGAAAATTTTAACAATCGTGTGTTCATAAATCAGCTGTAAATTATCGGTTCATGTGGACAGTATTACAATCGCAAAGTGAGCTGATGATAAATGGGATAATTGACAACAACTAAACAATTGTATGTAAGTTTATCTCATCTGATATGTAACTTAAGAGATTCATTGTATTACTGAAAAACTTTCAGTCAAAACAGTGCTTCTTTCTGTCTTTGATTTTGACTGAGTGTCTGCTTTATTTTGATTTTTTTTTTAAATTATTGTTTTTGTCATTTGTTTTAATTAATTTAAAACAAAACTGAAATTGATATAGGGCTACTATAACTATATTTCACATGATGGGTGTGTAATTAGCATCGCGCTACACCCGGGGCTTCCATTTTTGAGGATGGGGCTAGTGGTTTTCTGCACTGAGGAATCCCCTTTGGCTATTAAGAATTTTAAAATACACATGTAATGCATGAAAAGCACCACCGGTATTTTCACTCTTTTTTGCTATTTAATTCCCTAATATGGACATATTCCAGACAACATGCTCATATTATCCATACATCTACACAACTGCATCCATTTTGCAGTACTACAAAACTGATTTACTTAAAAACGATCTTTTATTTCCTAATTTGAATTCCTCTCTTTCCTTCGTTTAATATAGCAATATTTGCTTGTACATATATGCCTCACAGATATCTCATTATTAAATTATATACATTTACTCAATCAGCTTAATGATAAGTGTCATGCAATTATGTAGCGTTTTTTAAAAGCCATATATGGCCTAACTGATCAAAAAATATATTATTGAAAAATACAAAATTAAGTAAAGAAATATAGTTAATACATTTAAATTAAAGCTTTTCATACAATTCGGAGCACGGAGAACACCTCGTTTTATCTAATAACACGCTTTTATCTTTTCTGTAATGTGTTATTCAAATCTTTTGTATTTTCTTCCAAGTCGGAGAAAACTCCGAGAATCCAAATTAAATTTTGATATCTTTATAACGCAATTGACTTAGATTTTGTAATTTACGGAAAATTTCTATCTTTATCATGTTTATATAAAGTAATGATACAAATGATAAGTTCTTATAATTTTAGTCTAATAATTTTCATTGTACATACGCCATATATGGCTTTAAATGATTCAAGATGAAAACAAAATGATTTTTGCTTCGTTTTAATTAGACGAACTAGTGAATGACCAGAAAAGGAAAATTTAAAATCTTTTTTTCATTTTTTTAAATCATTAATTTATATATGATTAAATTTTACCAGCGAAAATTAAATTAAACTTTAATTTTAAAAAGAATCATCTGTAGTTAATACCCTGGGGCCCGTTTCATCAAAGGTCGTACGCCCAGTCGTAGCGCTACGCCGGCGTAAAGTCGGGACTAGCACGAATATTTGCATTTCATTAAAGAGCGTATCGTTACGCCTGACTAAATTTAGGCCAAAATTTTACGTCTACTCATGGGTAGGCGTAAGTTAGGGCGTAAAGTTAAAATAAGGCCTTTCTATTAATTTTAGCGAGTTCTAAAGAAAAAGTAAGGTTCTAAGAAGAATTTAAAATACAAACAATGCATTATTTAATTATACATATTATGAAGAGGGGGAGGGGGGGGGGTGTTGTTACAACTACTTGGGGACGTAGTTGATTTGAGTAATAACGTACTCAAATAATATTTTGATAAATTTCTGCTGAGAAGAAAAGATTGTTTTATTAGAGATTTCTTACGTTTTGACAATGCATTCATACACGTTTGATTGTGGTATTGTATGTCTAAGGTATTGTAAATCAATTTACATATATAACTGTATTTCTACACCCCGCTTGAAAAGCGGGACGGTACATGTATATGTACATGTATATACTATTTAGTAATCGGGATGTCCGTCCGTCCATCTGTTACGCTTTGGGGGTACCCATCTCTATCCGCAACTCCTTTCATATCACTGATTGAAATTTGGTGAAATTTTCACAGAATCTTTATTATATATTGCCATTGTGCCTTATTGTACTTTTCACAGAATCTTTATTATATATTGCCATTGTGCCTTATTGTACTTTTTGATCCGATACATATTTTGGGTTTCCCACAGCAAAACATGGACACTGCCATTATATTTAAATGGAAGGCGGGGGATATCTTTTATTGAACTCATTGCTTACGGTATCTCTAGTTTCTTTTTCATTTACTAAAAAGAGACCCATTAAAATTGTCTATTTTGAAAAATATTTTCCAACAACATATTTTCTGAAAAACAAAAAAAAATCGGTTTCAAAAGCATAGTTATCATCTTTCATGTAATTTTCTACATTTAAGAAAAAAATTCAAAAAAATAACCCATCTTAAAACCAAATAGTTTTTGTCATGTTTGAAGAGTCCATTTCTTATTAACTTCTCGTCCACATGCGTGGATCCAGAGGGGGTCGGAGAGAGGGTTCAGAATCTCCCGAATTCGCAGTTTAATTAACATTGAATGTACAGATTACTTAGTTAAGGACGAAAGTAATTATTTTCCTAGGTATCTGGGACAAGTGATGCTCCCGGCGAATCATAGACCCCAACCCAGGGAGGGGGTTGGGGTCTGATAGACAATAAGAGATTTTTGAAAGTGGTAATAAATTATTGCTTTTATAATATCGATGTAAGATGGTGATAATTACACAGTTAAGTTCAAGAATGAATTATTCCTAATTTTTTTTTCTCAGACAAACATTGATGCAGAAGACATCTTTAATGTTCATAATTTTGTTTAAAAGAGCAAATCTTACATAGTATAAGATCATGTGAGCGCATATAAAGCACATATAAGATGAAAATATACATGTTTTTGATTTCCTGCATTACTTACATTTTAATGAAAACAAAATAAAGAGTAGCTGTAACTAAATTTTAAAGACAGAGGCCACACAAGCAGAGAATTTTTGTAAGAATATCTTTGTAGTCATTTTTCCAAACCTCTCTCTCTCTCTCTCTCTCTCTCTCTCTCTCTCTCTCTCTCTCTCTCTCTCTCTCTCTCTCTCTCTCTCTGTGTACTTTTAAAACGGTACATCACATTTAATCTGCAGATAGTAAAGAATTTTTTTCTATAACTGAACAATTATGAATCAATTGAATTGACAAAAAATTAATAAATATAGACAGGATTATCTAACATGTACCATAGTAGTAAACGTGTAAAATTTATTTCTTGACTCAAAATGTGTTCATATATATTTACATCCGCTGAATATATTCTCCTTTATTTCTTAAGAAAACCCATTGCGTTTATCACTGCATGAACTACAGTCGGAATGTCGCTTGTACAGATTTCTTGATCAGTGGCTGTTCTATCAATGAAACGTATAAAGACGTTCGCATCATTAATACAATAATTAATCTTTTTAATCCTACTTTAAATAATTATTTAAACAGATATAAATATAAACAATAAAATGTCTTTCTTTGATTGTTATTACTGGAATGAACGGTCGCAGCTATTACAGAAAAAATTTACATAACCCGCTTACGCGGGTTATGTATTTTTTCTGCAACAGCTGCTTCCGTTCATTCCAGTAATACCAAACAAAGAAAGCATTTTATTGTTTAAGTAAACCGTTTGCATTTTGTTTTCATTATTTTTGCTTGCATATACATTTCTTATTAAAATTTTTAAAAATCTTATTATGTCTCAAACTTAATTATTAGTATTTGTCAGTAGAATCAGTATTTATCGAATCATGAAATTTATTATCAAAGGCGAAGTTATTAACCTGTATCAATTTTGGGAAGAGGGGGTATGGCTGTAATTAAATTTCCAAAATGAATAGTTTTGCTTAATTCCGAAATACAAGTACATGTACTGTCCTTTTCATCCTTTCAATTTATTAGACTTTTATTATTGAAATATTGTAAAAAAAACTAAAATTGGTTTCTTAAAAGATGCATGTCTCTTACATAACACTATAAACCCATGCATGTTTCAATTAGTGCAAGTATTAATTTATCTATAACTTGTGTTATTCTGTACTTTGACGTGCTACATTTTATACATGTTTGTACGCTTTGGGCAATGTTTATGTTTTTGCGCCTGCGCAATGCAATGTTGTCAAGGACTTAGTCCTGTGACTAAGCGTATCTTTTACGACTAGACTTACGCCACTTGGTGAAACGCAAATTACGCCCGACTAAATTTTGGCGTAATCCCCGGAAGTACGCCTAAGTTAAGGCTTAACTTTACGACTTTTGATGAAACGGGCCCCTGACTTTTTTCACGATGAACTTTTTTTCAATGTTACTTTTTAATTTTTGCCTCTATATTTGGGCTTGTCACTTTTTACTCGGGGATAGTAACTTTATTGCCACAAAGCTGTGGATTAGTACTTGATTTCCTTTATTGCACAGCGATGACTATGATTTAATAGCACAAAAAGCTAATGGGTTTACGTATGTGAATTTATATGATTAATGCTTACTTGTGATAGGATAACTGGAGATAATGATTCCTTTTTTCCATTGATATTACATAAATATTTTCCTAAGTATTATGTTACAGTAAATTGATTTAGATTTTTTTAAATAAAAGTAATCAATAATTACAATGGAAATTAAAACCATAATCATGTTCATTGAGGATTTTCAATATGTAACAGGTCAAACAGGAACTTCAATTGTGAACATTGCAGAGAACACACCCATCAGAAGATGACCCTCAGAAATAGGACAATTGTAAGTAATCAGTAAAATGAACAGGAATACTTCATGCCAACCATAAGATTTTTAGAGACATTTTCGCTTCTTAAATTTAGAAGAGATAGAGGGAAAAACTTGTACATACTACATAACTACTAGGCAACCAACCTTTAACTGCAGGAAAGCTTTTGGTATGTGCAATACAGCTACATAAAACCTCTTTAGTATTCATGTTAAGTTTGAGAAAGTACCTTAGTATTTTTTTCTAGTGTTTGCCAACATTTTCATGCACACTGTTTGCTTGTTTGTACTATCATTTTATTTTAAATTCTTCAGATGCCCTTTACCTTTGCCAGTTTAGAATCATTTGTTTTAAGGGCATCTGAGGGTTGGTTCCAGAACTTAATTAATTGTAAAGTAAATACTGGGGTACTATATGGTCATAGGTTATGTTAATACATGTATAACATTTTGTTCTGATAGAGGTGGCATACAGGAAAAGAAACAATACTAGATATCACTTCAAAGGAATAAAACAGCTTCATCTTGTAGGTGTATTTTATTTAAGGATCACTACTTCATGTCTGATGTGCTGAAAGTTATTCATAATCTGTTTGACTGTAATTTTTCATATTTTCAACTTCTATCCAGCTTAGTCAATTTTAATTAAATTTTGTGCAAAGCATACCCCAGGAAGGGGGGATGGAGTGTCAAGTGTGTCTCTGTCCCTGTCAACATAATTTCAAAGCAGTTAGTAAGGTTTGGGTCAATTTTAAATCCTCTTTAGCAGAACCATTGGGCTAAAAACAATACTAATGTGAAAGCTTTATCGTTAAGTGTAGAGATGTTTTTGAAGATTATGTACCCCTAATGTACTGATAGTGTTACATTAGAAGTCTAAAATTTGCAAAGAATAGGTGTAAAATCTTTTTAAAATCTACTTCTTAACACTCAGAAACTAACGTACTGTCTAATTAATATGCAACATCGTTTTGTGTGTTGAATGATGATTCCATTTTGATAAACTTATGGCGGATGGGGGGTATGATGAAGATGCAGTTAGACATAGAAGAAAAAAAAAGAGTTGATAGAATTTAGTTTTTCTTCCATTTTATTTATCAATACATATTTCTGAATAAGAAATATACTTCTACTTCTTGGTTGGGTTTGATCAACATAAAGGGTGATCTTGCTGTAGTCAAGAAAAACATGTTTTATACGGCAAAGAAATGCCTTTATCTCATTGCAGAATGAATAAAATGGACAGAGGCAGAACTGAAGGAGATGCATGAAATGAGGAATATTTCAAAGATTGCCTGAGCATAACCACTGCTGCTGGATAAACATATGGCAATATAAAAGAGCAGGGTCAATGGAGGTATCATACAGTATAGGCCATGAGAGACCCTGAAGAAGAAAGTATTGAACAGAAACAAAAATAAAACCATTTTGACATTTATTGAAATATAGGATCAAAGTCTTACATGTAAAATTTGGGCATGTAATGACTTTTCTCTAGCTCTAAGACTTATAACAGTGATGATTTGATTTAATATCTTTATCCCGATTTGTGGAAAAGATTTGGACATAGTGCATCAATTATTTTAAAGTTTTGATACAACGAATTCATTCATTGTACTTGTAACTAAGTTTTCTGGTGCGACACTGTTTTATCGGCTTCAAAACTAAGTTTGTGATTTCCAAACCAGATTAATGAGATCATGTAATATCTTTTAACATCGGTGACTATTTAATCCATTCTTTTACATCCCAGAAGTATTTTTATTATTACAGGGAAAATATGTATTGTACATGTATCTGTAATAAACAGGATTATAGAAATTTTCCATATAATACAACACAATCGTAGCAGCTGAAGGCAAATATTTTATCAAGGGTGTGATCTATTTATCAATATGGTTTTCAGCATCTTGCTCTACCTGTAATGACTTGCTCCAAGTTCCAATATTTAAATTTAAATTTTGCAAACATGGTTATAAAATTCTTTAAAAGCCATTTAGTTTAGGCACAAAATGCTTATATATTTCCTATCATTTGTAAAGTGTACACTGAATGAGATGTGGAATGTTAGAATTAAAGTATTAAATATGTTTTGGACTTATGTATGCTTATGCAGATAAATTTGAATTCAATTAGGGAAGGTAAATGTCATACTTATTGGGTTTGCAATCTAATGCAAGAGTATAAATATCCAAGACAAATTTGACAATTTTAATGAAGGGTATAAGTAACCCAAGAAGAATTGGACAGATAAACATCACCTGTTGGGTTTTATTCTAATGTTGGGATGTAATATCCAAGAAGAGTTGAACCAATGTCCAATACCTATTGGGTTTTCTTTCTTATGAAAAAAAATTTGAGTACCCCAAGAAGAATGTCCAATACCTTTTAGTTTATATACTATTGAAGGGATGAAGATATCCAAGAGGAATTGGACAGGTGTCCATTACATGTTGGGTAGTATTCTGATGAGGGGATTCTCAAGAAACCCAAGAATTAGACAAGTGTCCATTGCCTGTTGGGTGGGATGTAGATATCCAAGAGGAGTTGGACGGATGTCCATTACCTGTTGGATGGTATTCTGGTGAAACAATTCAAGAAACCCAAGAAGAATTGGACAAGTGTCCATTACCTGTTGGGTGAGATGTACATATCCAAGAGGAGTTGGACAGGTGTCCATTACCTGTTGGGTTGTATTTTGATGATGCAATTCAAGAAACCCAAGAATTAGACAAGTGTCCATTGCCTGTTGGGTGGGATGTAGATATCCAAGAGGAGTTGGACAGATGTCCATTACCTGTTGGGTGGTATTCTGATGAAACAATTCAAGAAACCCAAGAAGAATTGGACAAGTGTCCATTGCCTGTTGGGTGGGATGTAGATATCCAAGAGGAGTTGGACAGATGTCCATTACCTGTTGGGTGGTATTCTGATGAAACAATTCAAGAAACCCAAGAAGAATTGGACAAGTGTCCATTGCCTGTTGGGTGGGATGTAGATATCCAAGAGGAGTTGGACAGGTGTCCATTACCTGTTGGGTTGTATTTTATGAGGAGATTCAAGAAACCCAAGAATTAGACAAGTGTCCATTGCCTGTTGGGTGGAATGTAGATATCCAAGAGGAGTTGGACGGATGTCCATTACCTGTTGGGTGGTATTCTGATGAAACAATTCAAGAAACCCAAGAAGAATTGGACAAGTGTCCATTACCTGTTGGGTGGGATGTAGATATCCAAGAGGAGTTGGACAGATGTCCATTACCTGTTGGGTTGTATTTTGATGAGGAGATTCAAGAAACCCAAATAGAATTGGACAATGTACACATGTTCAATTGTTCTTGGGTGGTTTAATCCCTTCGTCAAAATACAACCCAACAGGTATAGGACACCTGTCCAAAGCCTGTTGGATACCTTCATTCTGCCCAACATGTAATGGGCATTTGCTAATTATTAATTGGTCATGACTCAAAAAGGTTTCTCCTTAAATACTTAATTTTGTTATTCAAGAAAGGTTGAACAGAGTCTGAGATGTGTTGAGTTGTGTTTTCACAATTCAGTTTTTTTGCACTTAGGTATTCATATATTTTAATATTAGTTATTTTGAAATATACAGGTGTATATCCTTATTGCTAAGAACAAATTAGTTAGGTGTTACAATAAAAGAGCTATATCATAGAAATTGACAAAAATATGGGTTCAAAACCAAAGGTTTTCAGTCTTGTCTGAATTTACCAGCAAATATTAAATATATAATAAATTTGAAATGAATAAAAAACAATAAGAAAAAACCCAATAAAATACGGACACGAGGATTAATATCCAATAAGATTTGAACAGTAACTACCCAAATAATGCTCTCTCGTGTGTACACTTTTTTTGTATCCAATAAGCAGTATCCAATAGGACTTGGACTTGATGTACCCAATATATAAACAAATGTGTGTCCGTCCGTCTGTCTGTCTGTCTGTAAACAATTTTTCAAAATGCTACTCCTCCTACAGTTTTGGTCTGATTTCAATATAACTTGGCACACAAGTAGACTACACTAAGATACATAATTCTGTGTATCGGTTTTTGATTTCGATGAACGGTGTTGCCGTGGTTACTAAAAATAGAAATTTCTGTGAAATTCTTTCAAAATGCTACTCCTCCTACAGTTTTAGTCTGATTTCAATATAACTTGGCACACAAGTAGACTACAATAAGATACATAATTCTGTTTATCGGTTTTTGATTTCGACGAACGGTGTTGCCGTGGTTACTAAAAATAGAAATTTCTGTGAAATTCTTTCAAAATGCTACTCCTCCTACAGTTTTAGTCTGATTTCAATATAACTTGGCACACAAGTAGACTACAATAAGATACATAATTCTGTATATCGGTTTTTGATTTCGACGAACGGTGTTGCCGTGGTTACTAAAAATAGAAATTTCTGTGAAATTCTTTCAAAATGCTACTCCTCCTACAGTTTTAGTCTGATTTCAATATAACTTGGCACACAAGTAGAATACAATAAGATACATAATTCTGTATATCGGTTTTTGATTTCGATGAACGGTGTTGCCGTGGTTACTAAAAATAGAAATTTCTGTGAAATTCTTTCAAAATGCTACTCCTCCTACAGTTTTAGTCTGATTTCAATATAACTTGGCACACAAGTAGACTACACTAAGATACACAATTCTGTATATCGGTTTTTGATTTCGATGAACGGTGTTGCCGTGGTTACTAAAAATAGAAATTTCTGTGAAATTCTTTCAAAATGCTACTCCTCCTACAGTTTTAGTCTGATTTCAATATAACTTGGCACACAAGTAGACTACACTAAGATACACAATTCTGTATATCGGTTTTTGATTTCGATGAACGGTGTTGCCGTGGTTACTAAAAATAGAAATTTCTGTGAAATTCTTTCAAAATGCTACTTCTTCTACAGTTTTAGTCTGATTTCAATATAACTTGGAACACAAGTAGGCTACAATAAGATACATAATTCTGTGTATCAGTTTTTGATTTCGATGAACGGTGTTGCCGTGGTTACTAAAAATAGAAATTTCTGTGAAATTCTTTCAAAATGCTACTCCTTCTACAGTTTTAGTCTGATTTCAATATAACTTGGCACACAAGTAGACTACAATAAGATACATAATTCTGTATATCGGTTTTTGATTTGGATGAACGGTGTTGCCGTGGTTACTAAAAATAGAAATTTCTGTGAAATTCTTTCAAAATGCTACTCCAAATACAATTTTAGTCTGATTACAATATAAATGTGGCATGCAAGTAGACTGCACTAAGAACATAAAGAGACTTAATTGAGGATCATTATTCTATTCATTGCTGTTGAAAAGTTTCAATCTCCAACTGCTTAAGTACTTTTTTCTTCCTTTGTTATAAGTACAAACCAGTAGAGCTTCAGTCTCGACAGAGACTTCTGGTTTAAAAGTGGGGTTAGGACGTCAAAAAGAAATATTCCCATAGGGTAAATCGTTCTCATGTCTCTGGTTCCTTTTGAAATTAAATATAATGTATACTGGTTCATGTATTGCATGGCTTTCATTCTTTTTTATTTTCAAAACAAATTTTCTGCGGCTGCAAGTTGTCTTTATTGTTTTAATCTTGTTTTCGTTGCAGAAATACAAAGGTTTATATTAACGCGGTTCAAGGTTCATAAACTCTCTGCTCACTCATATAAATTGTAGCTTGAACTTTAATGATTTTCCATAAGAAATGTATTTTATACCTTAAATAAAATACAAACAATTATAGCATGGCTCGCAGGAAAAATTGGACAAAAAGACTTCAACTTGGCAAATCTATAAAGTAATAATAGACATTTATGTCAATTAGAGTTATCTCTCTTACCAGAGCAGAAGTTAGTGATATTCAGATATGACATTCATTATTTTTAAAACATTGATGCAAATACAGATTCTGGAATTGCTTTTTTCATAAAGAGAATTTTAAAAATTGCGACTTTGTCTTGAAATCAAACCATTATTCTCAAAAGATGAATAAGAATTAGAAGCATTTATTGATCCGCAAACGGAAAGTGTTCTTTGCAAGGACTGCAAGCAGTTTCTTATGAACGACATGCAGGAAATTCTAAAATTTCCATATGGCAGTAAATATAAAGTAACGTCCCTTCATCCAGAAAATTCAAGTTTTACAAAATGACAATATCATCACAACACTTGCTTCATTCCAAACTCCTACCCACTATCCTGTGTTTTCATAGATTATATTTCGATTCCAGGCGATCAGTCCCGCATGCACGGAGTTGGAAATGGTTGTCACAGACTGGTTAGGTGACGTATAGTCAATCATTTCCATATGGAATGTAATTTGTTGCTTATAGATACACATTGAGCATTGTTGTTTCATTTCAGGTAAACTCGTGTCTCTACCGAAGCAGTTTTTACACGAGGGAGGAGAGGGTGGGGGGTCCATTCAGGTCAGTAGGATACCAGTGTTTTTCCTGCCTTTTCCCCCCAACAATATTTACGTATAAAAGATTAAGTTCATCATTATAAAGTTCTTGCTTAGAATTTTTTAAGGTTCCTTACTGCAAATTTGTTATTTTAAAAAGTTCTCTATAAGGTATACAACATGACATTATAGGGATCTGGAAGCGAGTGTATTTTCTTGGCTCTTTCCGCTGCAAAACGTCACACTCTACAAAACACAGTGGACGAAGCTCCCCGGCTTGTCGCCTACACCTCATGTTTGGTATATTTGTATTTTGTTGTCTGCTTTTCTTTTAAAACGTAATTTTGTCATGTTCAGCTTTATTGTCCCCCGCTTTCGCGAAAGCGAGGGGACATTAAATCTCATTCGTCTGTCTGTCTGTCCGTCTGTCTGTCAGTCGGTCAGTCTGTCCGTCACAAAAACTTTAACCTTGCCCATAACTTTTGATTTAGTGGAGCTATGACTTTCATATTTCACATGTGTATTCCTTGTGACAAGACCTTTCTTTGGGTACCACCAAATTTTACCTTTTGACCTTGACCTTGGAGTTTGACCCACTTTTACACAAAAATTCCAACATTTTACTTTGGCCATAACTTTTGAATAGTAGGTACTAGGACTTTCATATTTCACATATTTATTGTATGTAGCAAGACCTTTCATTGGATAACAACAATCTTGACCTTTTGAACTTGACCTTGGAGATTTATGTACTTATGAAAAAACTTTAACCTTTACCATATCTTTTGAACGTTGAGGACTAAGGCATTCGTACTTCACAAATGTAATCCTTGTGAAAAGACCTTTCATTGGATACCAAAAACTTTGACCTTGACCTTGGAGTTTTCGCTACTGTTTAAAAACTTTAACCTTTGTCACAACTTTTGAACAGTGGATACTAAGACTTTTATATTTCACATATGTATTCCTTGTTGCAAGACATTTCATTGGATACAAACAACCTTGACCTTTTGACCTTGACCTTTGAGATTTACGTACTTATAAAAAAACTTTAACCTTGACCATAACTTTTGAACGGTGAGGGCTAGGGCTTTCATACTTCACATATGTAATCCTTTTGAGAAGACATTTCAGTCAATACCAACAACCTTTACCCTTTGACCTTGACATTGGAGTTTTAACTACTTTTTTAAAAAAATTTAACTTTGGTCACAACTTTTGAACGGTAGATACTAGGACTTTTATATTTCACATATGTATTCTCTGTGGCAAGTCCTTTCATTGGATATCAACAACTTTGACCTTTTGACCTTGACCTTAAAGATTTGTGTACTTATGAAAAAAACTTTAGCATTGATCATAACTTTTGAACAGTAAGGGTTAGGGCTTTCATACTTCACATATGTAATCCTTGTGAGAAAACCTTTCATTGGATATCAACAACTTTGACCCTTTGATCTTGAACTTGGAGTTGACCTACTTTTAAAAAAAACATTTTACTTTGGCCATAACTTTTTAACGGTAAGGATTAGGGTTTTCATCCTTCAAAAAGAATAAACTTCAGTGTTACTTTCTAAATAAATGACATATGATAGTATGTTCATATTACACACAATATGTCATAAAAAATAACATCTCACCCACAAAGACACCGAAAGCGAGGGACCACAATTCTTTGAATTTGCTTGTATGCATTTAATCCTCATCGATTTAGTTTTCAACATGCCTTTGCCACATGTTTTTTCCCCAAACATTTAACATCTTATTTATGAACTCAATACCTCTAAACTTTCTGGGTTTGCGTTCGAGAACTATTTGTATCGAGAAATACCGTAATATTGATGTTTAACTTACTTTTCTATATCTTTCAGGCTAACGTATGTGTTCAAAAGGCTTGTTCACTGGGGTCCGTGATTTTACGACAGATCGAAGTAGATGAAAATCTTTCCTTGTCTGTAAAAGCTTTGAAAAGAAGCATCATGGTACACTAAAATTAAATCATAGAAATGATAAATGACATAATTGTTTAGCATAAAATTTTAGGAAAATACTAGTAATCCTTTCTGAGATGCAGATAAACTACATATAGCTACAGGTTTTAAAGAGAATAAAAAGAAGTTGCGACTTCGTCTTGAAATTAAACCATAATTCGCAAAAGATGATGAAGAACGAAGAATTAAAGGCAGTAATTAATTCGAAAACGGAATTAATCTGTAAACGGAAATTGTTCTTTGCAAGGACCCAAAGCAGTTTCTTATGAATACAGATATGTAGCTCGCTGGTGTGAAAAAATTGGATGGACGAACAGGATCACAGAGCTACCACCTGAAAAGTGTATATTTAATGTGCAAAATACATGTATATGCGCACGTTTCTAGATTAATTTCTTCCTATTCTATAGTAAAGAGATGAATTGAAAACGCTCGCTTTTTGCACAATATACACATTTTTTTCAATGATGGCTTTGTACATCTCTGGTTATCCAACCTAATCTTTTACAAGATCAGTTACTAATCTGTAGCCTACTGACTTACAATCGCCTTTCTATTTTCAGACAGACAAATCAAATGGACTCCATCCCTTTTTTGTAAGTGTCGATATTTTAGTTCTTCGTTTGCTTCATATTTTTACTTTCAGGCACTACATAATGAGAACTTTCAAAGTATATTCAGCTGTATTTTCATATTCAAACATTGTGCATGGGAAAATAAATCACTTGCCGTGACCTTCAGCTCAACATTCATATATATCGACAACGTATTACCAATTAATAGCTAGTACTTCCATTTTTATGTTGGCTCGCTTAATACTAACTACAAAGCTTTATGATCAACATGATTTCTTTTTATTCGTCAACTTCCCTTACTTATATAGCGATATTCCCTTATCACTTGCATATGGCGTTTGTCTCTTTAATTTGATTCGTAAGTGCGTAGAGTTTCTAAGTACGAAGAATATATAAAATGAGGCAAGCTATTGACAATCATGTTGATGAAATAAGAATATCAATACCTCGTTTAAAGTCATCAGTTGGAAGTTCTATGGTCGATACAATGACCTTGTCAGCAAATACAATCTATCATAAGAATTAAGTATTAAAAGATGACTGACGTTTTTCATCATTGTTTGGTCATTATTTAAATACACTTTTTGAAGTATCGGTGACAATTTTCTCTTTTTTTTCATATTAAAGTCTCATTGATTTCATACATTCTCCATGTTTATGAGATCAATTGTTGTTCATGAGCTTTACCTTTTTTAATTTGAAGTATCGATTATAATTTTCTCTATCTATGAAGGAGCTCATTGATTTAAATTGAGACATTCAACACAGGGAGAAAGAAAGAGATGCATTGTGTATTTTTCAGGTCTGTGCCACGGTGGGCACCACTTCTTGTTGTTCCTTTGATGACATTTATGAGCTGTCGGAGGTGTGTGACAAGGAGAACGTCTGGCTGCACGTTGATGCTGCGTATGCCGGTTGTGCGTTAGTTTGCCCAGAATTCCACTACCTCATTGATGGCAAAGAGGTAAAAATTCGTTTAATTAATATTTTGGAGGGGTGGTTAAAATATTGATTAATACTTGTATGCAATTTTACATAATCCTTATTTAAATGTTTCTATTTTTGCTACTTCTCTTTTATTTCAGATGTTTTCGTGCAATTAATACTTTGGCATACTTTATTTGTATTAAAACTGGTTAAAAACGCCAGACATAAAGGTCTAGAACAAAAATTATAATATTACCATGATTTGCAGAAAATTTCCTCCATCTCTTTTAATCCACACAAATGGTTGCTGACAACAACAGAATGTGCTGTACTTTGGTAAATAACTGCATCCGGGTACAGAGAAAGTCATGCCATATTTAACCTTTCAATCTCTCATACATGTACTCCTTTTCTTCATACTCTATGTATTGTTTCTTTCATTAAGTTATTATTTTTGCTTTTCAGCTTTTAAAGACTTTTGTTCCAACAGCTTGAATTCGTTTACGTAATTTTTTAAAGTACAGATGATTATTCATTTAAAAAATTCCTTAAGGTTAATAAAAATTCATTACAGCTCATACATGTTAATCTTGTTACCTTATTTTACAATGGATTAAATAAAAGAGGGATGGGTAATGAAAATATAGGAACAAAGACTATTTTTAATTGGATCTTTGAAAATGTAGACTTCAATAGTTTCTGTTTTTGTAAATAATTAGGACGGGGTGTTGTTTATAAAAAAGAACTCGTTAGAAGTATTTCTTATAGCATCTCACTGACATTAATCATGCACTCATACAATTCATTGAATATGGTAATGATATATTGACTTGTACTGACTTTCTGCTTCTACTCAATATGATAGTAAGACCCCTGCTGCAGTGACATGAAGGGTGACTTACAGAGTATGATAATATGTTGATTAATATACACTATGTAATGATAAAAAGGAACATATACTAGTATCTAAAATATTTGATGACAGAAAGTAAGAAGAGTTGAGTTTATTGCACAGGAAGACTTGAGATCATTTATCATATAGTTGCACCCTATATATCACTGTAGAGTGTATTTATATAAGCTTATTTGGATTCTGTCTTACCGTGTGTATCACTGTTTCAATGATAGGTTATGTCATTATACTTTCTACATCACAATTCATTTGGACAGAAGATATTCCATTATTTGAAGAATTTTTGAAGCGGCAATAAACAATACTACATTTGATAATTAAAGAGAGAAATTTTGAAAACCTTTGTATTGTATGTACATCGCTGTTCAAAATGCCAAGAATTAAGAGAAAATTCGAATTCAGTCTATTCCCTTAAGGTAAAGAATTTTACATTTATGCTGTACTATAAATGTTACTTTTGCAAGGTTGAAGAACAAAAAACCTCTAACTGATTGCCTCGGTGCTAGTGCCACATATCTACAGCATAAACATCAAGGTAAGACAAGTTCAAGAGAGATGTTATTTGTGAATATTTTTATTTAAATAAAAATATGATGGATGGATGAATTTAGAGATTCTTAAGAAATCTCATCAAAACACTTTATTGATATGTTTATAAACAATTAATACCTCGAATAATCATACCCCCTTCGAATGAAAGGGTTTCCATAGACATCCAAACTTATCTGAAAGCAGAGCTTTCTTAGCTGTTATGGCATGTTTCAAGAAATAAATAATGAATCATCAGCTACAGTTACAAATAAGAAATTTAACGATACAAATAAAAAATTTTACGATACAAATAGGAAATTTTACGATGCAATCGGAAAATATAGAATGCAAATGAAAAAAAATTATACAATTTAAATGACTTTTTAAAAATACAAATGGAAAATATAGAATACAAATTAAAAAAAATATAATTCAAACGGAACATTATAGAATGCAAATAGAAAATTATAAAATATAAATAAAAATTATACAAAAATAAATGAAAATTTATACAATACAAATGGAAAATATTAGAATACAAATCAAAATCATACAATACAAATGGAAAAGATCGAATATTGCAATGTTAATAATCATTATACACTTTTTTCATTGGGTGTTACTTGTGCTCTCGGATCGTTCGCCACAGATTTTTTTTCAGACTAACAAGCAGTACTTAGTATTGAGAATAACCAAAAAAAAAAACTTTTTAATCTGATCTGATATATCCTAACATTTCCATTTTTATATTACAGCTGAAACAACTGACTTCAGAGTATGTATTGTATTACATATTTTCTATTTAACAAAATATCTCACTAAAAATCAACACAACTCTCTTATATGTTACTACATTTATAATTTTATTTATAATTTGGCGTTTGGATTTATAAAAGACAACTTTTTTTTATAAGAACTTTTTATTCTTAAACTTGAAAAGAAATAAAATTATTTTAATTGATTACATTTAATTGAACTGCAGTCTCCATCAATTTATTTCTGACTGAAGCTCGTCAATCGTCGCTTCGTTTCTAAATCATTTTTAACTATAATGTATTATAATTTGGTAAATAATATCGTAAAAGTAATGAGAATAATATACATGTTATACATGTGTAAAAATTTATCTCCTTTAGAATCAATTTGAACGATCTTAGAACATAGTGACAACATAGAAATCCAATTTCACATTAACAAGACCATGGCTTTCAGTACTCAGTATAAACTGCATGTATATAAGAGTGCAAGATGTATATAGAGAATAATACATACCCTTTTCCATATCACATCCTGTATCAGCCCGAGATACCAATATCATCCAGAGGGCCGAAGGCCCGAGGGCTGATATTGGTCGAGGGCTGATACAGGATGTGACGTGGAAAAGGGTATGTATTAATATGTTTATTAAATACTTAGTAATAAAATACAGCATACATTAAGTTGAGAAGAAAATAAGTAAATAATCATGCATGGACTTCTTACATACATGTACATGGTCTATTGTCTCATACATATTTGGGTTTGTTTCTACTTCTATTTCAATGCACTAGATCCGTAATTTGACATTAATCTATTACAAGTATTTGTAAATTAAGATTAACCTTATTTTCAAAAAGTTAAAATTAAGAGAATATGAACCCACCAAAAATTGTGTATGATCACAAGTACTGTTTTTGTGGTTTAATTTACTAAGGGTGTGATATTTGACGTCACAATAGCCGTATCAGCCCTGCAGGGCTGATATGGATTTGCGGGGCTGATATACAGTTATTGCTGTTTTTGAGGTAATACAATGATTTAGCCATCTGAGGAGTACAATGTTCACCGAGTTCCAAGGGCGAGGTAAATATTGTACTTCGAAGATGGCTAAATCATTGTATTGACCAAAAAAACCCAGCAATAATTGTTTTACTATATGATTCACTGATAAAATGATACAGCTCATTACTTGTTATGCATTTAATTAAGTCCTAGCCAACTACAAGAGAGAAGCAGAATTAGAATGTAAATAAACCTTACTAGTCGTATCAATTTGAAGGTGTTTTTTTTTATCAATTTTAGTTGCTATGAAAAAAAATATGTCAGTCTATTTTATAGGATAAATTTTGAAAGAAAGGAGTTATCAGGGAAAACTGACTGCCAAAAAGTAAAATTGTTGTTCAGTAAAAGTGTTGGAGGGGGTTTCCTGCATCCCCTTTTACCACACTCACCCGAAAATATATTATTTGATTATGTTTTGTTCATATGAAAAAAAAGTCATAGTCGTTTAAATAGCTTTCCAAAACAATTTGTATCAATTTGGAATTTCCCGATCTATTTTTAGATCAATGTAGTGGAAATAAATCCTTGTATTCACCTGGAACGTCACGTGCAGGTCAATACAACGTAGTATTTTTCTAACATAGTTGGATCTCAGCCAATCAGAGAGATGGAAATTATTCAATCATATAATAATATAGGTTATCAGCCTTGCAAATCCATATCAGCCTTGCAGGGTTGATACGGCTATTGTGACGTCAGCCATATCGCATATGCAAAAAACCTGTACTTATTACTAAGTATGTAATAAATTAGATTATTATATGATTAAATAACTTCCATCTCTCTGATTGGCTGAGATCCAACTATGTTAGAAAAATATTACGTTGTATTGACCTGCACGTGACGTTCCAGGTGAATACAAGGATTTATTACCTCTACATTGATCTAAAAATAGATCGGGAAATTCCAAATTGATACAAATTATTTTGGAAAGCTATTTAAACGACTATGACTTTTTTTCATGCAAACAAAACATAAGCGAATACATATTTTCAGTAAGGGTGGTAAGAGGTGATACAGGGATCCCCTCCAGCACTTACTGAACAACAATATTTTCTTTTTGGTAGACAGTTTTCCCAGATAATACTATAATACTCCTTCCTTTCAAAATCGATCTATCCTATAAAGAAGACTGACTTTATACAATTTTTTTCACTTGATAACTAAAATTGATAAAAATTATTTCAAATTGATACGACTGGTAAGGTTTATTTACATTTTAATTCTGTTTCTCTCTTGTATTTGGCTAAAACTAATTGCAAACAAGTAATAAGCTGTATCATTTTATCAGTGAATCATATAATAAAACAATTATTGCTGTTTTTTCG